TCTCAAAGAATAAAAATTGTAGAGAAACAATGAAGGTCGAGAGAAAATAGAAAGACAGCTTTTAAAATAATAATGGGAAAGGGGTTATAATATAAAATCTATAGCCAGTAAAAAATACTCTTAGAAAACAAAGACTTCTACAGACATGCAAAAGCTGACTAAATCCAAGGTCAACAGAACCACATCTAAAAAAACATTAACAAGCCAGTCGGTGGTTAATCCCAGCACTTAGGAGGCAAAGGTAGGAGAATCTCTTGAGTTCAAGGCTAGCCTGATCCACACAAAGCGAGTTCCAGGGTGTCCAGGACTACACAGAGAAACCCTTCTTCAAAAAACAAAACAAAGCAATAATAATAATAATAATAACAACAACAAAATAAAAAAAGGAAAAGTTTTTATGGAAGTCCAGAACTAAAGAAGAGAAACACAAAGAATAATATAAAAGATTTCTTTCCCAGTTGTCTTAATCTTTGTTCTACTGCTGTGAAGTGACACCATGATCCAGCAATCCTTATAAAGGAAAGCATTTAATGGGGGGCTTGCTTACAGTTTCAGGGGCTTAGCCCATTATCACCATGGTGGAGAGCATGGCTGCAGGTAAGGCATTGGATTGAAACTACTTGAACTAGTTGAAAGCAACATCCTGATCTACCAGCAGAGACAAAGGCTTCTCTGGCCTAGGCTTTTGCCACTGACACAATTCTCACAAGGCCACACTTACTCTAACACGTGTGAGGTAGTCTATGAAAAGACTATGCTTTACTCAAGTTAGATTTTCACAGTGCAACTCTTAGAATGATCACTAAAGAACAAAAAAGGTCAGTGATAAGCCAAACTGAAGACAAATTTCATCAAAACTGAGCAAAACACTTAGATATGCCTTTCCTGAGACTGGAGAATCAGCAAGCAATTCAAGGTCATCCTCAGCTAGAAGATTAAGTTTAAGGCAAGCCACGAAAACAAACAAACAAAAACCACAATGTATACACACACACACACACACACACACACACACAATCAAATGATTAAAAACAAGTAAAAGAAAGAAAATAGACAATGGACTTCAACCTTACAGTAAATGTGAATAGCCTTCTTCAACAAGGTTTAGAGGCTGGAGGTCCATGCCTTTAATCTCAAAGGCACAGGCAGATCTTTGAGTTCAAGGTCTACAAATTTCAGGACAGTCAGGGTTACAAAGAAAAACTGTCTCAAAAAAAACCAGAAGGAAATAAAAGATGAAAACAGAAGGGGGAGAGGAGAGAGGAGGGAAGGGAAAGGGAAAAAGAAAGGAAGGAAACACAGGCGGACAGAGGTTGCCACAAATAAATCTTTACAGCGGCCTAACTAGTATAAGAGGCCACGCCCACTTGGTAACTTAAAAGCTACTGGCTGTAGGAATTCCTACAGCACATGTACACAAAAAAATGCACTTTAATTTAAAAACAAATGAACTGGAAAAGACACAGCATACAATGAACCTGAACATCTCAGATATCAGACACTACAGGGATAAAGACAGGTATTCATTCCATCATGATGAAACACCCATGGTCCAGGACACAGCAGTCCTGAAAATGATATACCATAAGGGGATTAATGGACAGAACTGAAATCTATACATATACAGTCAGTTACTTTCTTACAAAACTGCCAAAAACAGCAGGGGTAATTTTTCAACAAATATTGCTGACAGAACTGGACATATATATGGGGAAAAAAATGTCAATCTCACACTGCACATACATATCAACTCCTAATTCAGACCACAGATTAGAAATTAAACCCACAAAACTTCTAGGAAAAACTCTTCCTGACTCTGGATTACATAAATATTCTTAGGATACAAAAAAAAAATTAGGCCATAGAAGAGAAAACTGATAAAAAAAAAAATCAGTTAACATCAAAACTAAAACTACTACTCTTCAGAAAACATTAAAAGAAACACGTAGGGGAGAGGACATTCGGAGTGCAGGTTATCTGACAAACATGCACTCAAAGTTCACAAGAGTGTCTTTAAACACAACAAAACAAACAACCCAAGAAATGAGCAGCAGATCTGAACAGTCTCACACAACTGTAAGAAAGACCAGAAATCACTGGAAAGCGCCAAACCGTGTAAATAAGGGACACAGCAAGCCTACTACTGTCTACTCTGTCAGGACAAACTTTATGACTGACAAGACAACATGGAGACCAGCCAGTGCTGTCCAGAAGCACCAGAGAAACAAAAATCTGGTTTAGGTTACTGAGTTTGTCAAACAAATCAAACGTAATGTTGGTAATATTTAAATTGAATTTCTAGATTAAAATGGAGACAAAGGGAATTCTTAAAATAATTTGATTCAAGAGCATGGAAATTTGAGCCGTTTAACTAGAGTCCACCTTAGTTCCTTAGTAAAGTTTCCCTGTCTCTCCTTAAAAGTCTGTGTATTCTTGCATTATTTTAAATATAGACACCATAATTTTGTGACTGTTACATAGGCATCCATTTTTGGTATATTGCTACTAGTATAAATATTAACTTTTCCAGGCTGGTCTTCAACCTAACAGTCCATTACACTGAGTTTCTCAAGGTTTCAAAGCTATTACTGCCAAGTTCTAAAGGGTTTGTTTTTGTTTTGTGAGACAGGGTCTCACACTATATCACCTTGGCTGACCTGGAATTCATAAGATTCCCATGAGAAGGTTTAAAGGTGTGAGCCATCAGGCCAGCAACCAGGATTTTTCTTAACATATTAAACAGTAATAGAAATAAGGGGTATCTATGACTGGTTACCATCTTATAACGAATATATTGAAAATTTCTCCATTATTCTATTAGCTACAGGTCTGGTAATGACTTTTATATAGTTATCCTGCACTCTTTGCCTTACTAAATTTTTATCATAAAAAAAAAAACTGGTACTGGCCGGCTGACATAAAAAAAAATGATCAAATCATGTTTTTCCAATCTGCTGAAATAAATTACACTAATATATCGACACTGGAAAAAAACTGGAACAAACTGTGAATCATGATTCTTTTGACATGGCTAGGTCTGACAAGCTAATGGAATACAGGATTTCATTTCTACACTAATAGGTGAACCACACCTATATATAATCTTTTCTAGTTTTAGAATCAAGATTCCACTATCCCCATAAAATGGCCTTGGGAGTTTTGGCTTTGCCTTGCTTTTGTGCCCTATGTTCCAGAACTTATAAAAAGGAAAGGTTATTGAGTACTGAACCAAGACAAGAGACTTGGAAGGGAAAGCCCTCATCACTACTACTAAAAGTCTAAGCATAGTCCAAGTTTTCTACTGATAACTGTTTCGAGTTAATAGTTCCCTAACAATCATGGATTTCTTCATCTACCTTCTCAAATTTATTACCATATATTAGCTTTTTAAAAATTTAATGTTCTATTTTAATTTTTTCATTTATTTGCAAATTTTGCCCTGGACCAATCTTTAACAGGCCTGCATAGCTTACTAACCTTTTTGTTTTCTAACAAGATCTCATATTTCACAAGCTGGCCTTTAACAGCATACACAGCAGAGGAAAATGAAATTCTTGATCCTCATGGCTCTACCTCCAAAATGCTGGGATTGTAATTGTTAGTCACCATGTTAAGTTTTATAAGGCACTGGAATCAAACTCAGGGCTTCCAGGACGCTAGGCAAGCACTCATCAACCCAGCTGCATCCCCAACACCCCAAATTTATTCATCTTTTCAAGGTATAATCTTTTGGTTTGGCAAGTTCTTTTGCTCTCAGCTTGGCTGATGACTTCTGTTCTTTATGTTCATTTCTTAACCCATCAAAGAAAGTTTACTTAACCATTAACACAAACTTCTTCAGCATTTAAGGTAAACCACACCGCCACTATAAGGTCTATTTTCACAACGCAACCTTCAACATAAAAACTATATTAAATAAATGATAGTTCCGTCTATGCGTAACAGGGAACAAAGCTTCCTATCCACACCTACACAAGTGCCTTTGCCTAAAGCAGTTATCTTGAAGGCATGTAAGTAAGGTGGTGTGCTATTTCCATAAAAAAAATTTTTTTCTAAGGTTGTGACTACACATAAGCATCAGGACAAATAATTTTCTCTTCATAATTAGGTGGGCAATTACTGTTATGGCTTAATAAAATTGATAACTATAAATAAAATCTGCAGTTGCATTACCAGATGTTATTTTAAACTTGCAGTTAACAAGGACCTGGCTACCACTAGTGGTCACGTTCCTTTTACCACACCATCTCCCGGGGTTAAAACAACACTTTCTGGTTCTTTCCCTAGCTGTGGAACCGCACCACCAGACTGTAAATGTTTTCGAATTACTTTTTGTCTTCCGCCTGCAACTGAATGTTAAGGCAGAGCGCTAAAAAGCTCAACAAGCGGCAGGGCCCTAGGTATGGTCACTTGAATGGCTTCTCTGAAACGTAATTTTTATACATCAGGTTCAAAACAGTGGCAGCAGTTCCCGCTGCATAAAGAAACAACTCAAGAGTTTCGTGAGAGGATGCAAAAAATCCACAGAGCAGAGAACAAAGTACCAACCTAAAAAGACAACGTTCAGATTCCTGATTTGCTTAAAGTACAGCGGCTAAGTATACAAGAACACAAGCTGTCAAATGTCTTTGCTTTCTGGTTACCAAAAAGAATTCTTGCTAACGAAATTCAAGACCGCCTTATTCTTCCCCCCTCCTCGCCTTGTAAGGTGAAACTTTGAAGGGGACGCGTGAGAAAAAGAGCTTACTAATGTTGAGAGATGATCAGGCGTAATAAAGATCTTGTCTGAAGCATAATCTGGGGCTGCGGGCGAAGGTAAACGAGCAGCCCGGGCTGGTCGGCCAGACACCGGCTGCAGACACCGAACGAGGGTGGGAGGTAAGAGGGGAGAGAGAGACCTAGGCCTGGAACAAAGGAAGTGGAGCTGCTCCCAGGGCGGAGGGATTCGGCGAGCCCAGGTGGAAGAGCAGCCGAGGCTACGGGGAAAAGGCCAGACTCACGGAACTTGGAAGTGGAGGTGTTGATGTTGATGGTGGAGCTGGGGGTGGGGGCGGAGGCCGCCTTGGTCACCGCGGCAGCCGTGTCGCAGCTCTTCAACATCATGATCACCCCGTTGGGCTCCGGCAAGGGCGGAGGCCCCAGCGGGAGCCCCTCCTTAGGGTCCTTCCCGTCCACGGAACCCGCGGGCATAGCCAGCAGCTGGCCCCCCGGGGCTTCTCGGCCGGGATCCTGGATGGACGACGAGGGCGGTAGCGGTAGCGGTGGCGGTGGCGGTGGCGGTGGCGGCTGCCGGAAGTTGTCCGCGGCGGCCTCCCAGTTGTTGTGGTTCTGGTCGTCCATCATCGCCTCGTAGCTGAGCATCTCCTCCTCCTCCATGCTCTCCTCCATCCTGCCGGGCCTCCCGGCGGCCTCCCAGGCACCTGCCTCCCCGAGGCCCGGGAGCACAGCAGCCGCCTCGAGTTCACATCGCCCGGAGCCCTCGCGGGCGCGGCGGACAGGCCAGGAGCGCGCGCGCCCGAGTGCTTTCGCCCTCGCTCAGGACTCCGCTCAAGGAACCGCTAACTGCGGTGGGCACTCCCGGGCTCGGCTTCTCACAGAGACGGCCGCAAAGCGGCGACGTCCGTCACGACATTTTACAGCAGCTTCCGCAGGAGCCTGGGAAGAGCTCTCGGGGGGAGCGGCCAGGAAGACACGTGGTGCGAGGGACCGGCCCAGGAAAAGCTGGGCGGAAAGGGGGCGGGAGCTATGGGTCCCACTCCGCGCGCGAGGGACCCAGCTGCCACCTCCCGGGCTCGGCCTAGGCCAGGTGGCTAGACCAGCATCCGCCGGCCCCGCCCCGCTTGCATTACGTCATAGAGGACTGGTCTACGCACGCCCGCGTTCTCTGATATTGTACCCGAACCCTGCGGGCAGTGGTTATGTGCATCAGCCTTTTTTGTTTTTATTTTTTAAAGAAAAAAAAAAAGTCCCACTCTGTAGCCCAATCTGGCCTCCAACAACTGGCATTCATTCTTCCTCAGCCTCCCGAGTGTCCCATCACGATCTGTGCTGGCTAATCTTTTATAGGGGGGTTCCCTCACCACCACCGACACGTGCTTTTTGCCACCTAGGTCTTGGCCTCCCAGTCTCAGCTTTTGCTTGGAGACAGAAGTACAGGGTCCCAGCAGGCCCTGGGTACAGACTCTAAATGATCCGGGTAGGCTGCTGGTATGTGCGTTTCTTAGCCCTTGGTGCACAAAACTGAGACATACAGAATACTGCTTCAAGAATTGCACAATATACATTCCTTCCAAGAATATGTGAAACATTTACTAAAGATAAACATACTGGGTCCCGAAGCAAGTGTCTCTGCGTGTCTGAGGACTGACATCACGGCAACCACGTTCTCTGCCCACTGTGCAGTTAGAAACCATTAACTGAACAATAGCAAGTCCCTGTTATTTCCTTGATTAACTCGTGGATCTGAAAGTCAGAATACTAGAAAACCTTAGAACTGACGAGAACGGTACAAGCATAGTAAACGTTTCTAGGAAGGCCCTGTTCAAGGAGGTTTCCCCAGCACACTAGTAAATACTGAACTCTCCATGTGTATTTTAAGATACTCAAAATAAATGCTTTCACTGATTAAATATCATTATGGGAAAACCTAAAAACAGGCAGGGCCAAAGAAATCATTGACAGGGTTTATAGGTGGTCGTGGGTAAGAAACGTTAAAGGGAAATCGAATGGGCCGGTAATAACTGGTTGACTCTTAGAAGTTTAAAGTATATCATGCTTTAGTAGTTATTAACGTAAAACCGCTGCCGGTTTGTTCAGTATGTAGAGACAGATATAACAATATCGGGAACACTGATCCAACAGTGGGCCCAGATTAATAATTATATACCCTTCCTTAGTTCCAGATGTTAACCTCTTTGTGTACCTGCAAAATATACATGTAAGTTTATATACTTAAAGAGAAAACTAATTTAAAACATCCATAGAAGTTTATCTTGAGGGAAAAAGGACTATGGATGCTTCAATCTTCTATGTATCTTTTATTTTTTTCTTTTTCCTCTACAACAAGCACTGTTGGGAGCACAGAGGTCCTTACGCCCACAGAGAACCAGGGAAACCAGGAATGTTAATCACACAGGGCTGTCTCCTCTAGGGAAGGAATAAAATACCGACATTCCGCGCAGAAAGCTGGGACTGGAATACTGTTAACGACCTGGTGATCCCAAACTTTCCCTCCCTAGACCTTTATTTTAGCTCCCAGTTAACAGTGCCCGTCCTTAGGAGGGATGCCACATGTACTTTATAGACTGCTGACCTCGACCACACCAGATCTTAGACCTTAAGCTACAGAATCCATCTTCCTTTGCAAAGGGGTTTCTCTGCACTCATGCCTAAGTTTTATTGTGCACCTGGAAATGGGTGATTGCCTGGAAACCTTTCTTCCAAATTCTGTGTTTAAATATGTTTACAGTAAACTTCCTGGCCTCAGACAATAGTGAAGCACGATTAATAAAATCTCAGAGACAGGTGTTGAACCTGAAGGTCAGAAAAGCAAAACAATTTAGCCACTGGCTTTTACCTCTGCCTCAGTCTGAAATGGCGATCCTGCCTCCAGGAATCTCAGAATGAGACTGTGATTGAGAGTTGTCTTCTCCCATTTTATAATCCTCTCTTGTTTTGGGATTAAGGGCGTGCACCACTACCATCTGGTTTCTGTAGGCCCATATTTCTATTTGGTATGGCAACCAGGCTCTAAAGCCATAGTCAGTATCTGAGGATGGCCACATAGCCTTCCAGACAGGCTGTCACTGCCCTAACAAAGGGTCAGGATGTTGTTTTGCTCCTTTCTTTGTAATTTGGAGGATGCCTGATAGAAATGCTAATTCAGCCTACATGACAGGTAGCACACAGGTAGTTGTGGAAATGACTAAAAGCCATTCACCTGGTTACCTAGGAGACAGAATGCTAATGTATTAAGTTTTGGTATAAAGACTGTTTGGAGAATAAACAGAGGAATTCTTCAGGACATGAGGGATCTCTGAGAATCTCCCTCCCGATGAAGCCACGTGAGTTGTGTCTTTATTCCCACACCTTCACGCCAGTCCAGAGAGAGATAGTTTATGTTGGGGTCTGGTCGAGAGAAATAATTTATGGTCTGGGCTAGCACCGGACCCTGACAGGTTTCTATAGCAAACTAGTGTGGCTACTGAGAGTAAATGTGTGACTCGTCATTGCTGCCTGACCTGTGAGGCTGGCAAGTGTGGCTGTTTTACTTTTCTGATCTTCAGACAAGCTTTATTTTTTAAAATACAAATGACTTGCCACTACATTCCCCCTTTTTGTCTAAAATAAAAGATAAGGCTATAACTAATATAAGAAAAACTATATACAATAAACACAATAACTATATACAATATATACAGGCAATAAATATATCAACAATGTCTAGTCCATTTACATTTGACAAATTGAGAGAAAATACTCCATATCTGTCCTACCTTGATGAGTTCAAAGTCTTGTACCTAATTTACTTCTATTATAACTTGCTTTCTGCATCAGACAAACAAAGAAAACTATAACTATTTAGTCTTCAAATCCCTCAGAGACCCAAGAAGGAAATAATATTAACTTAGTAAGCAGGAAGTACAAGCAAATGACTTCTAAAAAAAAATGAGTAATGACAGAAACAGCTGGCTGCCTGGACAGTTGCCCAAAGTTCCTCTGCAACATTGGAGCATCCATCTTTGTTTTACAGGTCTGGTCTTTAAGACTGATAATTGAAGCTGTTATACTCTCTGAACTTCAGGCAAGCTTTATTATTTATTTATTTATTTATTTATTTATTTATGATATTTGTAATGAATAATCACTACAGGACATGACTGTAAGACCTGAAGATGTCACTCCTGAGGAAGTAGGATGGGACACCCTTGTAGTTTAACTTTAGGAAAGAAACAGAAAGGAGCAGAAAGGAGGCCACCATCAGACCTTCCCTGTTGGGAGAATATAGTTTGCCCTCAGAAGGTAACAAGGGAGGGAATACTCAAAGGATTGCTAAATTCAAGGTAAGACAAGGGAATTGAACAACAACAAAAAAAATCCATTAAAATGGGTGGGAGGGCAGCGGAGATGTATCATCAGTTAAGAATTGTTACTCTTCCAGCCCACATCTGTAACTCTGGCTCCAGGGTATCTGACACTCTCTTCTAGCCTCTGCAGGAATTGCACATGCATGGTGTATGATTATACATTCAGCCTAATACCCATCCACATAAAATAAAATAAAGTAATATTTTTTAAAAAATACAAAAGGCTGACCTTGGAGAAAGAGTTCTAGAAGTTACAATGAAGGGAATGGAGCATGCAAGAGAAAAGAAATAAAAAACTTGCCTCAGAGGATTACAGGAAAGTTTAGAGATGAGAAATGAGAAGTGTTTTCAGGGTAATTGAAATTCTGGTGATGAAATGTCAGAGTAATAGGGCATGCCTAATCCCAGTGGCATTTCAGTGGGAAAGGGACCCAGACCAAATGCAGCTCAGCTGTGGCCTGCAAGGTCTGGTCTGATGGAACTGAAAAGCAAAACTGGTCTTCTACCATCAGCCAGCACTGCAGATGTCAGTGTCTGTGATTGGCACCACTGAGCCCAAGACACCCGACTCTTCGTGGCCAGTGAATTCAGGCAATCCTCACCAGCATCCCAGGAGTTTGGACCAAAATGCTTCATGAGCTTATCTCCAACATCCCCCAGAGATTAACACTAGGCAGAGGCCATGGTTCCCTTTATAGACATGCTGATTATCTGGGAAGAGTTGTTTCTGTCTTGTTATAAGGAAGAAGAGGCCCATACAAACGAATCCCAGTTTCTATTATTTCGGACAGTCAGGGCATCACTACCTGAAACTGCCTCCTGTACTCTAACCCCAGACACCTCTAACTTTGGTGCAAACTGGCCCTGTCAGCATGCAGGTCAGCATTGGCAGCATCCCTGTCATATACTCTCCGTCACTAGTACATATAGATGAAAATTCCACATTTCCCCTCCCTGTTCTTTTAATTTTATTTCTATTTATGTATATGTTGGTATGCCTGTGTGTGCCATGTGTGCGCAGGTGCCTGCAGAGTTCAGAGGAGGGTATCAGATCATCTGAAGCTGGAGTTTAATAGTTGTGAGCTTCCTGATGTGGGTAGTGGGGTTCAAACCCCAGTCTTCAGCAAGAGCTACACACTTTTAACTGCTGAGCAATCTTTCAGTTCCTACTCCTCATTGCTTTAGAAAAATAAATAGAGAACGGAAAACTTGATAAATTCATACTAATGATTTTCTCTCACTATGTAGCGGGGCTACATACTTCTGGAATTCACTAGACCAGGCTGGCCGAGAACTCACAGAGATCCACTTGTCCCTACCTACCAAATGCCAGGATTAGAGGCATGCACCGCCACACCCAACACTAGTAACTTTCTTTTTAAAAAATGAAAAGAAGCTGGCTGCGGTGATACATACTTTTTAATCCTGGCACTTGGAAGGCAGAGGCAGGTGGAGTTCTGATTTCAGCACCACCCTGGTCTACAAAGCAGTTCCAGGAGAGCAGGGCTACACAGAGAAAACTTGTCTTAAAAAAAAAGAAAGAAAGAATATCTTTCTTTTATATGTTGGGTATGGCGGTGCCAGAACACTGGGCAATCATAACACCAATGATAACATTAGCAAACCACCATTGTCTGCTATCTCCATGCCAGACATTCAGTTAACCATGTTCTACTGATTATCTTATTTATTTAATCATCACAAGAAGCCTAGAG